TGTTGGTACCCTTTATACTGGACAACAGTTGAGACTGAATCTGAGATTCTGGTTGCTGGCATTTATTAACAGCTGATACTACTTTGCTTTTCTTAAAGTGCTGGGAGAGGGTTAGCAAGATAGTTCAGCTAGAAAAAGCACTTGCTGCACAGGCCTGCTTATTTGAGCTTGATTCCTGGAACCCACATAGAAGTGGAAGAAGAGAGTCAACTCAACAGTTATCATCTGACTTCCACACACATGCTCTGACGTGAGTGCAGTGACACGTGTTGTAACATGTGCACCACTCCACACATTATACATACATATAAATAAAAATAAATAAAAATTTTCTCAAAGCACAGTCATAATCGTTGGACTGGTTTGATGGTTCCTTGGGTAAAGGTGCTTCCTGCCAAGCTCTACAACCTGAGATCCCAGGGATCAGACTCCCCCACAAGGCGGAAGGAGAGAACTAACTTCCACAAGCTGTTCTCAGATATCCACATGTGTGCCATGGCATGGCCCCCTAACAAATAAATAAGTGGAAAAAATTCTTTAAAAAGGTGTTCTGAGAGGATTCAGTTTCAGAAACCAATTTCTATAGCATCGATTATTTCTGGAACCTTACACTATTTTAGTATTAGCATTATCATTAATTTACAATCATTTCTCATGAAGACTATCAGTCTTTCAAGCGTTCATTGTGAGTGATAGAATTATGCTCAGCTATGAGACTAAGACAAATACTGAGGCACTTCAGGGGCAACCATGAGGTCTGTGGTATAGGGTTAAGATGCTGGCCTGACCTTGGGGTTCATGGCTCTGCTTAATTCCTGCTATTTATGTAAGACCAGATGACCTAACCTGTAAAACTGGTGCTAATAACAACATATTGAGAACACTTAGACGAAAGTTGAGCAGATACTTACTGCTCCCTAAGCACTGGTTGGCTATTTCTTTCTTAAAAGTAGGAAAATTAAAAAAAAGAAAAGAAAAGAAAAGAAAAACAATAGCCCTAACTAGTTGTCCAGCGAGAAAAGTAAAGTTCTTCCTCTCCTACTCCCTCCTCTACAAGTGTTGTGTAAATGGCCCCTATACATGGAGGTGAACAAATTCATATTATCAATGGTTAGAGCAACAACAAAAAGAATATACTTAGGCTGAATTTTATTTTTTATAAATTAGCACTAACATTCTTATTTTAATAAGAATTAGTTAAGCTCTACCATCTTTGGCCCACTGATTTCCATTGTTTGGAATCAGACTTTGTACCTATCAGAAAAAAAATAAATTAATCCCCCTCCCATTTCTTCAATAAACAAAATATAAACTTAAAAGGGAGATAAAAAGGGAAAGAAAAGCTATATGGAGAACGTCAAAAAACTTAATCAGATACTTACACTATATGAATTCTATTTACATATTGATTTAGAACAATTTGTAAAACAACTTATGAGTCAATAGGCAAAACTGATCACACCAAAACTATTCATTTTAGGTTGTGAATGCCTTCAGAACTCCTTCTTTAAAGATACACATCCTGAAATATTTATCTATGAAAATAGTAAGAAATGAAGGATTTGCCTCAAAATAGTCTGGGAGCAATGAAGAATACTGGAAAGGACAAGGTTATGACAAGGTCAGCCCTGAATCCATCACTGCTGATGCTGGTAGTGTGTTTGTGAGGGTTCCTTAAACCACTCTCCTGGTCCTTAGGATGGAAACTAAAGTCTTACACATGGTAGGCAAATAAGATTTATCTCCAGCCCACTAATTCCACTTCCCAAATCTGGAATTTTCTAAAATAAAATCTTAAAAGGAGAAATCATGATGACTTTAAAATGCCCACAGCCCAGCTTACATCTGTAGAACTTTTTTTCCAAGAAAGGAAAGCAAGAACTGTTATGAGAATTGAAGGAAGCAAGAACTGTTATGAGTTCCAACTTGAAGGAAGGACCAAGGCAAGAGGTGATAGTTGTTGTGTCACCACCAACTCCAAAGACTAGCATCAATACCAGTATTAAGATGCCTGCAACATGTACCTCTTTAGGAGGAGACACAAAGTCCTGCACTACTGGCGGTTTGACCCAAAGTTACTCCCAACATTTCTGTGCTATGTAGGCCTCAGAAATGTCAACCATATGAATCTGAGATTGTACAAAATACCTATTAAACACATACAGTGATTCTTATTCATTGTACTGTGACTATAAGTTTGGGATGTGTGAACCATAGATGGCCCAGTCAGCAAGGGGAAGGAGGGAGGGGTTCAGGTTTGATTCCTCCTCAGGTCATTACATAGCAGGGGGAATATTTATTGGAGGGGTGGAAGGGGGCAGGTAAGCACAGTAGCCCAACTACATTTCAGAACAGGAAGAAGGTCCACCCTTTTGGCCTAAAATGGGAACCACAAGGGCACTCTTATGCCTAGGCAATTTTCCTACTTTCACTAAGTAAATAGAAATAAAACAAGGGAAATATTTGGTATGGATACCTAAACAGAATGCTTTAGAAAAGTTGAAAAAATTTATAACAAAACAAACTCAGAAAGAAGCTAATATATCATTAATATTATCAATATGATGAATAATTCAACATTAATATTAATTTCATACTACTAAAATTAATATCTTAATAGTAATAACTATATTTATATGTGATATAAAATAGCTAATATATTGTTATAATATATTAACTGTGTGTGCTGGATAGCTTTAGTTGTCAACTTGACACACCTAGGTCGAGGGAGCCTCAACTAGTGAATTGCCTCCATTGGACTGGCCTGTGGCCATGTCTGTGGGGCATCTTCTTGAATGAGTGATGTGAGAGGGCCCAGCCCACTGTGGGTGGTGCCACCCCTGTGAGGGTTGTTCTGTGCTATATAAGAAAGCAGGTTGAGCACCGGCCAGAGGAGCAAGCCAGTAAGTAGTGTTCCTCCATGGCGTGTGCTTCAGCTCCTGCCCCAGGTTCCTGCCCGGAGTTCCTACTTTGGGCTCTTTTAGTCATGAACTGTGTTACTGGGGAAATGTAAGCTAAGTAAACCCTTTCCTCCCCAAGTTGATATTGGTCAGAGTGTTTTGTCACAGCAATGGAGAAGCAGATTAGAACACTGTGCTAATTAATCATAATAATTTTTGTTAATATTACATTAATCTTAATGCTTAATCTTGGCGAATACAACTTAAGCATAAGTGAAAAATGGGAATTTGTTTCTCAAAGACTTTAGCTTAATAGACCTTGAACTATCAGAAAAAATAAATTAATCCCCCTAAGGAGCACTCCTTTTCATTTTCCATATAGTTGGCAAACATGAAAGGCAGCATGTATTACACAGTTTTCAAGATTTTGTAACTACATGTAAACCAGATATAGTTCAATAGAAAAGCATGTTACCTCTAAACAATCATTCATATTTCTAAAGTAAGTGCACAGCTGTAACTTGAGTCAGCTTTTCAAGCTTGTCACTTCTTTTTAACAGTGCTGATTTGTGAGGGAAAAGGTCAACTAGCACACTGATTCATTTTCTCCACCTGTATGTCAGGTTAATTCTAAAGCGAATTACAATAGTTATGTACACACCTCCTAAACTCTTTACTTATTTTACAAAAACACTACTTTCTAAATTCTATGGACCTGGTCTACCATCATGAAATAAAAATTGGCCAGTTGTGTTGGCACATACTTTTAATCCTAGCACTAAGTGGAGCCAGTGGCAGGGGGGTCTCTGTGAGAGCCAGGTCAGCCTGATCGAATAGTAAGTTCCAGATCAGCTGGGGCTAAAGGAAGAACCTGCCTCAAAAAGACCCAAAAAACGCAAACTTCCTTCACACTCTTCCACGGTGTGCTGCTCTGTGCCTGGTTCAGCCCCATACTGTAAAGTTCATACATACATCCTTAAAAAAGGAGAAAAAATACTCCTAGATTATCTTTTATGAAACCATAAATGTTAGCTCAGAATTGCTTAAGATTGCATTTATCAAATCATATGTATGCATACAATTCTCAATTAAAAACATGACCTCTGTAAAAAATATTTATTTTAGAAAGTACATTTAAAGCATTGTACAAATAGATCATTATGTGTGAATTTAGTTATTCTGCCTTAATTCACAATTTAAATGTAAAGTTTTTAAAACATGGAGTGCTTTAAATATGGAGTGCATTTTAAAATAAATGTAATTTTAAAAAAATCTCAATAAGAAAGGACTAGAGAGTTGGCTTAGCAATTAAGAGCATGTGCTGCTCTTGCAGAGGACTCAGGTTCAGTTCCCAGCAATCACATCACAATCACATTCCAGTTCCAGGGGTTACAATACCCTCTTCGACCTCCTTGGGCACTGCACGACATGGGCACACTTACATACATGCAGGCAATACACTCATACAGATAAAAAATAAAAATAATAAATAATATTTTTGAAAGTCTTAATAAGATTTGATCCTGGCACTATACACAAAATTTAAAATCAAAAGCTTATCAGAAGAAAACAGATAAGAGTCAGAGAACTGAAAATTTTAAAAAAAGAAGTGAAAATGTTGTGCTATTGTTCAACTCTGATACTGTAATTGTACAGCTCTCATACTATACTGGGAGTGTTTCCATAGACAGAGCTGTCCCTTGATATTACCTGATCTGGACAAGTAAGACCAGTGTTACTGTTTATTGGAAAATTCAAAATACAATGTGATGACTTTGATAAACTAACTACTTTAGACTATAAAGAAACTATGGCTTCTTGGCATTATTAATACAAACTAACTAAAAGAAGACTTGGTACTGAGACCATGCTTTCACTTAAGGTCAATTATGATTCTATGGCCCTTTTGAGTTTTCCAAGAATTCTACAATCTATCTAACTTTTATGAAAAGACCAAGATCAGAAACTTGGAGTTCTACAGATGAAGAAATTGAAGATTATGGAATAAAAGTGTGTAAGACCATGTATCTGAAAGGATGCCAATCACAAAATTCACCATGGTAACAAAGAAATTCAGGTCCTGTATCCACATGTCATTACCTGATCGGGCGATTCTCTTTACTGTCAAAGAGGGAGAAGATGACCTCCAGCTCTTCTCCTAGGTTGGAACACATGAGGCTCTTCATCTGGACGAAGAGGTGGTGACTGCTGGCCTGCACTGGGGTGTCTTTTTTCCGATGTCGATGTTCCATCTGAATGATACCCACACCCCAGGAAAGACATGATCAGCACGGACTGAAGAAAATATGACCTCCAAAGAGTTGTGGTGTGGTGACGATGTCTTACACTAAAACATCATGATGAATTCAGAATCTAATCTAATTTTCACTTTTCTTCCAATTTCAATAATAAGAATCTTCTACGACAATAGAGCAGGCCTGGTAGGCCTCTAATCCCAGCTACTTAGGAGGCCGAGGCAGGAGGATTTCAAGCTCAAGGCCTGCCGGCCTACAGAGTAAGTCAAGGCCAGTCTGGGCAACTTAGACCCTGTCTCAGAAATTTTAAATATAGCAAGGGCTGGGCTGGGGATGTAGCTCAGTGGTAGAGCATTTCCTTAGCATAGCAAGTGCCAAGCTCTACATTCAAAATCCAGAACATGAAAAAGAAAAA